CTCCAACTCATGACCCATCCATCCCACCTCAATCTGTAGCTCCTTTTGACCATTTTGAACCCATCACTCTATCTTCTCTAGAGCAGGTCATGTGCAGCTTGAAACCTTTTGGCTCCCCCTTTGATGTGGTCTCCCCTCGACTACTAAAGGAGGCATTTCCTACTCTTGGTCCGTCTATTCTTGCCATAGTAAACAGTAGTTTATCCACTGGCGTGGTGCCAAAAACCTTTAAACATGCTGCCGTCCAGCTTCTCCTGAAAAAACCAAACCTTGACCCCTCAGTCGTTTCCAACTACCGGCCTGTCTCCAAACTCCCATTTGTTTCTAAAGTACTGGAGAAAATAGTCGAGTCCCAGTTGAAGTGCTTCCTGGAGGATCACGCCATCTTAGAGCTTTTCCAATCTGGCTTTAAACCTCTCCACAGAACTGAAACTGCCCTGCTGAAGGTCTTTAACGGCATCTTCAGATTCACAGATACTGGTGATTCTGTGCTGCTTGTCCTGTTGGACCTCACAGCCACCTTTGACACCATCGACCATGAGATCCTCATTGCTAAGTTGGAGCAGTGGGTGGGCGTCACAGGATCAGCCCTCAATTGGTTCAGATCTTACCTCGATGACAGATCCTTTTGTGTCTCCATCGAGGATTTTAGTTCCGCAGAGGCAGAGCTTAAATGGGGGGTTCCGCAGGGGTCCTTCCTGGGTCCCCTCCTATTCTCTTTATACCTGCTGCCACTTGGTGCTATTTTCCGGAAACACAACATGCCCTTCCACTTCTATGCCGATGACTGTCAAATTTACTTCCCCCTAAGACACAATGGTATATGCTCTATTCAACCGCTGCTCAACTGCCTGGCTGACATCAGGGACTGGATGGCTTTAAATTTCTTGAGTTTCAATGAAAAGAAGTCTGAAGTCATGTTGTTCCCTCCCAACGACACGATCACAAACCACTGCATCGACCTTTCCGCTCTAACCCTGTCAGAAAAACAAAGAGTCACTAATCTGGGCGTGATAATAATAATAATAATAATAATAATAATAATAATGTCATCCCTGAAACTTAACAATCATGTAAACACGATTGTTAAATCATGCTTCTTCCAACTGAAGCGGCTGTCTAAACTGAAGCCCATATTGTCCAAAAATAACCTGGAGACAGTAATACATGCATTCATTACATCTAGGCTTGATTACTGCAATTCGCTCCTGTTTGGTATCAGTCAGACCTCCATTGCACGACTACAACTGGTCCAGAATGCAGCAGCCCGATTTTTAACCAGTACAGGCAAAACAGAGCACATTACACCAGTTTTGGCCTCACTGCACTGGTTACCGGTTCACTTTCGAATCCAGTTCAAAATACTCATGTATGTCTACAAATCACTGAACAATTTCGCACCACCCTATCTCTGATCTGCTACAACCGTATGTCCCACCACGTTCCCTGAGGTCAGCGGACCAGTTGCTCCTCACAGTTCCAGGAACTTGTCTTAAGCGCAGAGGTGACAGGGCCTTCTCTGTAGCAGGACCAAGACTCTGGAACGAGTTACCTCTGCTTGTCAGACAGGCCCCCTCCCTCTCGGTTTTCAAGTCGGTTTTCAAGTCCCGTTTAAAAACTCACTACTATTCAATAGCTTTCAACACAAGATGATCTGTGTTTTGATCCTGTATGCTCCACACTGGTTTGTCGTCATTATCTGCATCATTTTTTGTCTATATTCTGAATTACCTCATTTTGTATTTTGCTTTGTGTGTTACCTGTTGTTTTGTCTGTACAGCACTTTGGTTGGCCTTGTTCCTGTTTTAAGTGCTTTATAAATAAAGTGGTATGGTATGGTATGGTAAAATGGCCCACTTCCTGTTGGGTTTAGAGCATACCTCCAAGAGACTTTTTTGTGTGATTCAGGGAGTTCTACCTATGTACCAAATTTCAGCTCTGTACGACTTACCAGTTGTCCTATCTCACGTTCTCTCACAGGGGGCGCTGTGGAGCAGTTTGGCTACGCCCACTTTTGGTTTAATTAAAAAACAAAAATTTTACATGGGGGACAATTATGGGTAATGTTTGGTGAGTTTTCAGATATGTTAACCCCTCCAAATTAGTGCCTCTTGTCGGAGAATAATAATAATTAAAAAAAAAAAAAAAAAAGTAAAAATATTAAACAGCTAGGGGTGCAGAAAAAAATTGCTTTTTCGATTAATCTAGATTCTTAGTCCTGGCGATTCTGAATCGTTTCTAAAGGTCCAAAAATCGATTTTAAAATGCATTTAAGTTTTATATGTTTTCCGCACCTACTCCCCGTTCGGATGCCGTAGAATTGAGCCGTGTAGGCCACCGTACAGCAAGCTAGTTAGCCAGCTCCCTTTATCTGAACGGAGCCTGCTAGCATGGAGGAGGGAGACGTTGGCTACGTACTGTAACCCCAGATTCTATGAGTATAGGCGTAGACCTTTAAGGCTGTCGTTAGTGGGTTTCATCCAATCACGTGAAGCGTAGCACTGAAAACTTTAGTCCACGCCCACCTGTTGTGTGGGCCTCACCCGGTCCGTATAAATTACATTGAGACCGGGTAATTGGCTCCCAAATAGCTTTTTCTTCAGCCATTTAGGAACCAGTGAGGCCCAGAGCTTAAAGGGCTATGCCTATACTCATAGAATCTGGGGTTACAGTACGTAACCAACGTTCTATTTCATATAGGCTTCGCCCTTTAAGGCTGTCGCTAGTGGGTTAAAGGCGAAGCACGATGTAGTCTATGCCTCACTGGGTCCGTTCAAACACAATATGAAGTGCCCGCTTCCACCAAAAAACATTTCATCACTCAGCCCTCCATGTGCGTAATTACGTAGCGCGTAATTACGCGCACCATGCACAGAAGCGTGCTGCGTAATTACGCGTTCCATGCACAGGAGCGCCCCGGAGAGAAAAAGTTTTTGACGGGGAAAGGGGGAAGGCTGAAAACAATGAACAGAGCAGATCAACAGCTCTTCAATATGAACAGATTAATAATAAATGAACTGATTAGTAATCAAATGAACTGATTGGTAACATTAGTCATGAACTGATTAGTAACAATAGAACAAAAAACAGCAGTTACAAAACTTGTGAATGATAAGAAATATCTCACACTGTAATTGCATGCAGTCAGATGTGAGTTTAAACGAAATTCCATGAAAACAGTAAGATTCATTCCGTTAAAGCACTGAGGATAGAAATGGCCATGGAACAAGCTGAAACATTACGCAGATAAAAGCGGATAAATGAACAAGGCGATGACCACACGGCTGCCGTACAAATATCCTGCACTGTCATACCATTATGCAAAGCTGTCAAAGATGCAATTCCTCTGGTAGAATGAGCTCTGAGGTTGTCAGGAGGCTCTAAACCTGATGCTCTGTAAGCTTCAGAAATGGCCTCACAACGCCAGTGTGACAGACGCTGGGTGGATAACGGGCGACCTGCAGAGACGTCTCTATAATGTACAAACAGACGTTGAGTCTGAAGCAGTGTGGCCGTGTGTGTTATGTAACATGCCAGCGCACGCACAGGGCAGAGGAGATGAAAAGATGCTTCTTCTGTCATAGCTCTGCTCTCTGTCAGCTCCTCTGTCATGCTGCACACTCAGTAATCACTCAACTCATGTCACCTGTCACCGCTCATTATCCCACAGCTCCACCACCTGGTCCAGTCAGTCCTTAAGCTCACTCATTCCTCTCAGTCGGGGCCAGATTCTCTATCCTGTCTCATCAGCAGTAGACTTTCCAGCATTCCATTGATTGACTCATCACGTTCATGACCCTTGCCTTGACCACGACCACGCTTTTGCCTCAGCCCTCGTCTGCTTTTGCTCATCTGATCAGGTACCGACTCATGCTCTTGTTTTTT